ACTATACTCATGGATGAGAAGAATTAATGTTTTCCCCAATGAATCTATACAAGAAATGCAATTTAGATCAAATTCTCAACAGGGTATTTTAGTGGAACCATTAGAGTGGTTCTTAAAAATTCATCTGGAAAAATAAAGAGCTAAGAATAGCCAAGATGATTTTTAAAAAGATAAAGAATCATCTTACCACATTTAGTAATTAAAGCCACATGGTGTTGTGCAGAAATAGACCAATTGAGAAAAATAAATAAGGCACTTAGAAACATGCCAGTGTAATATACAGAAGGTTAGCATATAACAAAGTGGCGTTTTTTGTTTTTGTTTTTTTTAAAAAAAGGTCAGTAGGAAATTTTTAAAATTCAATAAATTATACTGGCTACTCATGAAAAAAATAAAATTAGATCCTTCCCTCACATATAAAAATTAATTCCAAGAAAACTAAAAAACTAAATGTGAACAACAGGAAAACTGTAAAGCATTTAGAGTTTTATAACCAACAAAGGATTGGTGTACAAAATATACAGAATATACAAAAGAACACCTATACATCATTATGAAAAAAACAAAATCTATAGGAAAAAAGGTCATATGAAACATAAATGACCAATAAGCCTATGAAAAGATATTCAACCACACTGGTAAGCAGAAAAATGTAAGTATATATAAACTGTATATATGAATTTATACACAAAATGTCATACATTATTTCATACCCATTGGACAAGAATGACAAGAAGTGGGGGCAAGATTTCTTCCTACAGACACTAGCCCTCCCACCATAAACTACTAAAAACTGGATACAATATAAGAAATGATTATTTTCAGATGTCGGAAAACAGGCAGTACAGGACTGTGATCACTGAGAGAAGGGAAACAGAATGAACCTCACAATTGCACCAGCTCTCTATCTGGTAGCACCTTCCAGATACAGAAAGCACAGGGAAGAGAAGCCCCAAAAGAGCAAGCAGCCTGACTGAGCAAAATAAACAAAGACGAGAGATCAGGGCCACTAAGGTGGCTAGAATTTGCATAGGAAAGTACTAAAGAGAAGGAAACTGCACAGAGAAGGAATAATACTAGCCTAACACATCTATGAAGATTAACAAACTCTAAGAAGGATAAAGTGAACACAATCTACAAACAGACACATCATAGTAAAAATGATGAAAATCAAAGACGAGGAGAAAATCTTGAAAGCAGCAAGA